ATACATTCTCATAATCCGTAGAAACATCATCATTTTCGGCAAACTCGTCCTCAACAACGTCGTCCGTTGAGTGATCAGGGACATCTTCGTATTCACGATTATGCGGATCAATGAGTAGGATGTCATCAATTTCTGCTTCAGGTTCCTCGATTTCATTGGTGTTTTCTTCTTGCAATGGTGGTTCTTCTCCCTCGATAATTCGTCCTCGAGGTGTCACTTTGATAACAGCTAACCAGTTTATTCCCGTTGTAGTAATCCGAGGGTATGGAATGAAGCAAACTCAGATCCCTAAAAAATGCTCCAATTCCTATATAGAAAAACGTCGAGAGATCTTTTTGGATGTTTTGGACCAGGTATTAAGATGCTCATGAATAGAAACTCTCGTCGCATGCACATCTCCGGTGGCAGGTTATACGGTGTAAGAAAGACCGGCCACAATGAATATTGTCTCCCAGACATTCCAAATGGACTAAAACCATCAGTGCATAATCCAAGATACACATTCCAGCTATTGCTAGCGAAATGTGGATGTACATTGTTAAAATGTTTCCAGGCTCTTGCATCTGATGGATGAGTCATCTCTCCATCCTTCTGAGTATGCTCGGCGTGCCATCTCATCCCTCCAGCAGTCTCCTCAGATTGGTACAACCTTTTCAATCTGTCTGTGATTGGTAGGTACCACATCCTTTGGTACGGACCCTATTGCGCCCTCGACCTTGCGGTTTGAATCGTGGCTTCTTACAAAATCGACATTCTTCTAACTTCTCATCATCTCCCCAGTAAATCATGCAGTTGTCGATGCAAACGTCTATCATCTCCGAGGGCAACCCAAGACTATATACCAATTTCTGAATCTGATAATAAGATTCAGCAGATACATTGTCTTCTGGCAAATACTCTTTAAACAAGTCTGCCCATGCATCCATACAATTTTCAGGTAGATTGTGATCGGTTTTAATACTCATCATTCCAGCAGCCAACGACAATTTAGATAGACCTTCTCTACAACCACTGTAAATTGGCTTATTTGCAGCTTCTAACATTTCGTAAAACTTTTTTGCATCTAAGTTAGGTTCTTCAACTTCATCATCATCATGAGTTACAAATGCATCACCTACCATATCATGAACCCTATCAAAATCTACCATTTGTTCCTCTTGGTAATGATCATAGCTATAACTACTGCTACCTTCATTACGCAAATGATCAACCGGTTCAACCTGATTACTACTGCTACCAGCTTCATTCCTACAACTAGCATCTTCTCCATGTTGATACCAAATATAATAATATGGCATGAAACCTCTATTTATTAAATGCTTCCAAACATTTTCACGAGGGCCTAATTTGCTATTGCAGCATNTGGTGTGTTTCAAATGAATCACATAAGTTGGTATTTATAGAAATTTTCGAATCTGATCATTTACTAGGAAATTGCTAGGAAAAGTAGGTACAAAACACATGTTTTATTTAAATTCGATATTTCCTATCCATTTCCTCCTAATTTCGTAGTAATAAAATGTTTCCTCCTAATTTCGTAGTAATATTTTACTATGCCTTTAAGAGGAAAGTCTTTACTACGGCTTTACGAGGAAAAGTACTTTTTCCTCGTAAGATCCTCGTAAATTTACTAAGGTCTTACGAGGAAATAGTTTCTCGTAAGTTTTCGAGGAGCTTACGAGGAAATTTGCTTTCCTCGTAAGATCCTAGTAAATGCTTAGTAACTTTACGAGGAAGATTTTTCCTAGTAAATGCTTAGTTTTCTTGTAGTGTCATATTAATAAATGTATTAACTCTAGAATAATTAAATATTATTATTAAGTAGATTATAAATGGTTATATGCAAATATAATTATATAATAATAGAATAATGTATTTTCGAAATTAGGCATATCTAATAATATTTTGATGGGGTGAAAAGAGAATTAAAAGTGTTGTTAGGATTTTACTATGAAAATACAAAAAATAAATAATGTAAGCAATTTTCTAAGAGATGGTCCATTTTAAAGAAAAAATCACACATGAAAGGAAGTTGTGACTTGTCTTTTAATAGTTAAAGAATTTTTTTGGGGGCTAATTGTCATGCTCATGGATTCGATGCCAGGCGGAGGAGAACTGCCGATTCTTGTCAAAAATGCGGTACTGGGTGTTGGACCTTGTTCCCGACCCAGGTAAAACCCTCCCAGATGAAGTGGTGATTTCTAATTAGTCATTTTGCTTATGAATTATTAACTAATATCGTGTATGCAAATTAAAATAAAATGTCGCTTCTTTGGTGTTTGTTTATAACTGTCGATTCACGAAATAAAAATTCGACGGGATGAGGTAACACGCTTGGTAAGGATTCTGTGGGCCAATTGTCATGTTCACAGATTCGACGCCAGGCGGAAAAGAACTGTCGATTCTTGTCACCAAATACGGTACTGGATGTTGGACTTTGTCTCCAACCCAGATAAAAATCTCCTAGATAAAATAGACTATTGTCTGACCGGTCTGAGGAGAATGACCCACATAAGTGGGACACTCCTCAATTATCAAAAAAAAAAGTATCAATAATTTCCTTAGAGATTATGAAAACACAATATTGAATATTTTAAAGCAGCCCAAGCCAAATGGCAAATCTTAGGCGGCTATTATTGAATCCAATCAAGAATGATTCTAAGATAATTAGTTAGACGTCAAAATCAATATGAGGCAGCAAAATGCTAATCTGAAGAAAAGTACAGTTTTCTATGATCCGTCAAGAAAAAAAAAAGATCCGTCAAGATGCATGCACGAATATAAATACATAACCAAGGGTTTTACGAAAAAAATATAATACTTAAACGAATACATGGGATAATGATCTTTTCGATATACAGTAGAACCTCTATAAATTAATACTCGATAAATTAATAATCTCTATAAATTAATAAATTTCACCGGTCCCAATTTGGGCCGGTGTAAAATATGACACAAATCGATAAAATAATAAGATAATAATATTTTTGAAACTGTCATGTAAATATATGGTCCCATCATAAATTAATAATCTAGCTGTATATAATTTTATATAGGTACAATCTAACATTATATTGTTAGTTTTATATTTACTATAAAAATAATTTTATTTTTCTAAATATTTTAATATATTTATAATATTTAGTTAGGGGTTTTATATTTACTATAAAATACTTTTATTTTTTTAAAAAACATTTCAATATATTTTGATAGTATTTAGTTAAATTATATCGAAAACCATGTAACGATTCTACGAAACATAAAAATATACACAAAATAAGATAATAAAACATTATAAAGTCAAATTTCTAAAATTTAAATAATATACATATGCTAAAAATCAAAAAAAATTATTTTAAAAATAAAATTAGAGAAAATAGAAAAAATTCTAAATAAGGAAACTTTTGTAAATTAATATCTCTATAAATTAATAAAATTTCAAAATCCCAACATTATTAATTTATAGAGGTTTTACTGTACTTCAATAATCTCCCACTAGTTTGATATGATCTCTAAGAAACTAATATGGCATAATTAGTATAGACCACAAAATTTCTAATTTATATTTTTGGAAGGTGTTTCTAGCTAGTAGGACTTTGGGATGCTAATTAATTAGTTTGTATGATTAGACTAGAAAGATGGGGTGTTCAGAAAAAAAAAATCGAGATTTGATCAACCACCTTTTTATTTTGTTTTGTTTTGATATCTGTTAAGTCGTGACTTTCACGTAGAGATTTATATGTTATTATCATTATATATAATTTTCAATAAACAAACAATTTTTATAATTCAAGTACGACGAATTAGGTTGAGTACTATCATCATCATTCACGTTGGTTAGTCATGAGATATGGATTGTGAAAGCAAAACCTAATCTGTTTAATATTAAAGCAGTTGGATTATGTTATTAATTAATTAACGTATCTTTTATTATTTTAAGCTTAATGTGTTTCAATGTTTGAACGAAGAAAATAGCTTAATGGGTGTGTTTTTTTTTGTTTTTGGTTCAAAATGTGGGTGTTTTTCTGTGACCAAGAAATCTATAGTTTTCTAATTAATAACAAATTTTTCTCACGGAGTTGCGCGAACCCAGAATGTTAAAACTGTTCGATGGGCCAAACTTGCAATTAATAGGCTTTAAAATGTCATAATTCCTAAATACGATTCTATTAACTGGAAATGGTTACAGAAAATGAACTTAGACACTCTCACTACTCCTTGGCATTTAGTGTAGTCAAAACCTGTTCAATCGCTAACTAAAGGTAGTTATAATTTTATTTTCACACTGAAAGTTATATATTGACATAGACGGAAACAAGATCGAATACATGGGTGAAAATCTAAGCCGGCAGAAACCCAGTTTCCCGGACACAAACCCTAAATAAGGGAGACAAGGACATTACGTGAAGAAAGAAAAACCAAAAGAGACTTGAACCCGCAACAACATCTATAACCAGTGCCAAGGCTCAAGACCAAGACCAAAACAACAAGACCACACAACACCTTGGAATCGAGAGACGGAGAGTGAGACGAACCAAATCACCCGAGATAGTGATAACTCCTATATTATGATCATAATATACCACTAGAATTTTATAGACGAATGAATGAAACATCTTTTCAATACATAGTTGTTTAGTCAATAAGTTTTGGTTTCCTAATGAGGAAGCAAAAAAACTCACAGCTACAACTGAATAAATAAAATGTAGTACTTAAGTCCAAAGTTTTGTTATGTTATTTTTGTTAACATAGAATCTTGTGCAAGACAACAGCCAAAAACGGAAAGCCTACTAGTAAGTTACCAATTTTGAGAAAGTTCACATCAGGGGTACGCATAGGGGATATGAAGAGAGCAAAGATAAAAGTCGCAGTTAAAGCCCGGATAAAAACTTCTCCAATCCCTAACTTTCTTTTTCTTCTAGAGTTTGGTAGCAATCGTGCAACCTCTTTGACAATAGCAGCAACAAGAGCAAACTCGTTTCTGAAAACATGAGTAAACAACACTGATTCAGATGACTAACACAAAAGTGTTGCTATACAACAAGAATTGATTATTTTTATTTTCCATGTGCATAAAAAGAAAGATGATTTTTAGAGAAAATAACTAGAATATACTTAAATTTTTTTTTTATCACAAATATAGACCTTAACAATTAAAATGATCAAAATAGTATTTAAATGTTTTATTAAATATACATTTATACCATTGGGTTAACTAATCCTAGACTTTTTTTGTTTAGAGTTAAAGGAGTGGATTTTTGGGGATAGGGTTTCAAATTTAAAAAAATTTAAAAAACTTAAAATTTTCAAAATAAAAAGTGCTATATTAGTCATTTTAATTTTTGAGGTCTATTTTTGTGATAAAAACTAAAAGAGAGCTATTTGGGAGAATTGCGGTTATTTTTATTTTCTTAACTAATACCTGTGTCTTTCCAAGCTTAAGCCAGTGTTCCTTTTGATAATAAAATTCAAAGCTTCCTCCCAGCTCTGAACCTTCATTGGCTCCATAGAAAACCTCTTCACTATATCTCCAAAATGGATTCCAAACTCTCCCCCGAGTCTTCTCACTTCGTTTGCTTTCACATTGTAAAAGACGGGGATGATCACAAGTTTTCCTTCTTTTGTAAGCTCTTTCATCTTCACAAGCTCGTTCAAGCATTGATCTGATTCCGAGTACCTTTTTGAGAAGATTGCTAACGCGATACTGGACTTCTCTATACTCGTGTATACTTGCTGTCTTTCATCCTCTTTTCGTCTAGGGTTGTAGCTATCTATGAGCACATTGATCCCTGATTCTCTCATAGCCCACACGAGATGTCTGGCGAAGTTGCCGCCAAGATCCTCTCTGCAGAAACTGACAAACACTTGAGGGAGACGTGGTGGTAGTCGGTCCAGCTCTGCCACTAGAGGCTCAAATGATGATATGGTGTTAGTTTGGGTTCGGTGATTTGTGGATTGACCTGAAACACACACACACGCAAAAAAAAAAAAAAAAAATCTCACTACAACTTTTGAAAACGCAATCATACTTGACAATCAAGCAACATACCACACATATTATAAATAACCTTCTATGTTGTTGAAATTGTTAGAATTTACTTCTTCCCTTGCTTGAAACATCGATTAGAATTTTCTTCACCTCCTTAACGATTGAATCGACCAACTCAGACTCATCCCTGGCATTAACCAGAGAGAAATCATCTTAAATTCTTTATAAAGACTTCGAAAACCTATGCACATATTTTAGTTTTAGTTCGAGTAACAAAATTATTAGCCTTTCAAGATTTTTAACAAATAGATTAATTAAAATTAAAGGAAATTAGTTTTTCAAATCACACACAAAACCAAAATAAAATACAGAATGTATAAGTTCAATTAAAAAAAACCCAAAATGCTGGTTTTGTTTTTGCATAAATTGCATGCTTCTTTTTATCAATGAAAAGTTGAACAAACTGCTATTTATATATAAGAGAAAAATTCATACAAACTTTTGTATAAAAATATCACGTATACAGTAAGGTAAAACAAAATATTTGAGTTATTAGTTTCTTTTATAAAAGCTATGCAAACAATCAAGCCTAAATCAATATTTAGAAATACCTGTGTCCAGCCAAAGTCAAGCCAACCTTCTGGGGAATAGAGATCAAAGCTTCTTTCCATTTCTTGATTCTCTCAGGCTCACTCCGATACTCTCTCTCCAGATTCCTGAAGTTGTCACCGAAAGCTCCCAAGAGTCTCTTACAGTTGGTAGCGTCCAGTCTGTAAAATATTGGAATAACAACAAGCCTGTCTTGGTCCATCTGCTCTTTCATCTTCACCAGTTCATCCAAACACCAACTCGATTCAGTGTATCGTTCAGACAAGATCGCAACAGCGACTTTTGATTCCTCGATCCTCCTGAAAAGATTCTGTAGATCTCTACCTTTGACTTCTGCTTCATCTGTGAAGACGTTGATCTTTGCGTCTCTCATGGCTTTCACTACGAACCCGAGGAAGCTTTTCCTCAGCTCGTCTCCTCTGTAGTTGATGAAAACTTGGTGCTGCGGTGGGGTTTCTTCACCGGACAACGTCATTGGAACCGCTTCTTCAATGAGACGTCATTTCAAAATATTGAATAAAGTATTAGTCAAAAAAAAATATATATTGAAGAAAGTCAACTTTCTTATGTCCAACCATTTGAAAATTGGAAGGTGTCTCACATTATGTACAACTGTTTTTCGGCAAAACTTATATTATTGTGAAAATAAAGAATAATTAATATCATTATTATTATTATTTTTGAAAAAGGGTCAATAATTAATAATTATCATAAAAAATTAATTAAATCATGGATCATAAAAATTTCAGTGTGAGACTTTTCAAAAAATCAAAACATAACATATACGGAAAAATGTAAATTTTGTTATATGGTTAATATGATTATTTAGTTTATTTTATTGATTTAAAATTAAAAAAAAATAATAGAGAGTAATTTGTATCAAATATTTATTATTTAAAATCATTAATTGTCATATATACTTTAGCTACATTAGGTAATTTTGTAATTTAATTAAGCAAAGAATTGAGACCATAAATAATTAATTTATGGTTAATTTAATAAAAAGTTATATATTTAGATGGACTAAATGTTTTCTCTACGAATTATAAAAATTATTGTGGCGATGACACATGATTACCTCAAATGTTATAATATTACTCTTTTAGTATATAAATGATTTTGAAGACAAAAAGTTTATACCCTAAAAAAAAGAAATACTATATATGCAGGTCCGTCTCTAAGCATGTGTCCGAAGATCATTTGCACATGATCCATAATGTTTTTGTAAATTTTAGTTAGAGTTTAGGATCCTCTGAAAAAAAAATTAGGGTTCATATCTACAGCACATGTATCTTATATATTAAAACAGAAGTCACAACCTTGATTCATGTGTGATTTTTTAGAAAATGGACAATTCCTTAGAAAGATTATCAAATGTTACAAATCTAATGATAATATCTTTAAGTATCTTTATCTTTCTATTTAAAATAGAAAGAAATAAATCCAACAAAATCTTTTTGACATCTTTTAAATTTTATTTCCTTAAATCATTGAATTTAAATTCTAATTACCAGAAAATATCATTAAAATTATTATTTTATTTATAAATGAAATTTTAAAATTATCTAAAATATTTTTAGTTATATTTTAATGAGAATTATAATATAAATTAATAGAGTTTCAAAAACACTTATTTACAAAATTTAAATAGATTATGTTGGAAAAAAATAAAATTCAGTTTCAAATATACAAAATAATATATTATATATTTATCTATCTATACTATTAAAACAAAGTCATGAGTTATTTCATGTATAATTGTTTTACTTGGGCCATTCTTTAAAAAGTTATCAAATTTTACATAATTTAATTATAATATCACCCTATATATTTATCTTTTATTTGAAATACAAATATTTTGTTTAAGAAATTAAAATTTATCTAGATAGTACTATATATTCCTAAAATAAATAAAAAACTGTATACTGGAGTTTGACCGACACAGATTTTTCATTATGTAATTTTAAAACTTTGATAGTATTGTAAAAATTTAAATACATGATTTATAATTTTTTTGTTTAATTTTCTTATTCGTCATTATTAATATATAGTAATTTTTTAAAAATATTTTAATTTATATTCTTATGGATTGTTATTACTTATTAATATATTTTGGATTTTGATACATAAATTATAATCTGAAATAATCAAATATATAATCTTTTTAATTTAAATTTTTAGTTTCTACAATTTGCATACAATACATTTTAACATTTATTTGGATATACTATAGTTAAATATTTGTTAATGATAATTTATATTTTCATGTTGTGTTTAAAAATGATACTTTGGCATTTATTACTTTAGTATTTTGCAAAATTTTATAAATAAATATATTTTTATTCATATATTTTTTATAAATTATAAATAGATAAAAAAACCCGCACGGTTGTGCGGGTCAAGATCTAGTTTTTCTTTTAAATTGCACAGAACCCAATAAATTATTGAGACGAGCTTGTATATATGTATAGTAACAGTGGATTTCACAAAAATAAAGATAAGAAGAGGTGTGTTACAATAGAGCAATTCATTCGTTTATATATAGAACAAAAATCAGAAGTTACTTTATATGCATAGTAACAGTGGATTTCACAAAAATAAAATTCAGTTACTTTTGTCGACATATTCCTCCCCAAATCCAGTTTTTTTTTCTGCTGCAAGATTGACAAAACAATTTCTTTTTCTTTCCGGTTCTACATGAGATGAAGTAGTGGCAAATAATAAAGAATGGAGAAAATCTTTGAGAGAAACAGTTACAGATCAATGAACAATGCAACAAAAGATTAAACTCCACAACTCAAAACATTTATCGTTAAGTATCTTATTGTGTAAAATAAATTTCAAGTATTATAAATATTTAATAACGACGTTGTATGTAAAGTATGCATGGCAGGCTGTATGACTTGAACCTGGTCTCCCCGCGTTCCAGAGCTCAATTCTCCAATGATGTGAACAAGTCCACTTCTCGATATTGGCATTTCTTAAACTTTTTTGGCATGTTGAAATTATTAATTCGACACTTGGGTTTTTGCTAATGCAACCAATCAAAATATCAAAAAAATGGCATGAACAAATTCATATTAATTGCTAGAGCACGTGAAAACCGAGTATTTTAACTCCACAATGGTCAATCCCTTATATATTAATCCTGAAGCATTCATAAATGCACAACCTTTGAGAATATGCTTACGTGTCAAGCTCACAGAATTTCTCAGCTTTAATTTTTTAATGGACCAACTTTGCTAGGAATGAAATAATGTAACATTTAATTTCTTACATTTAGGACTATAATATATAAACATTTTTAAGGGACAAACTCTGATAGGTATAAAACAATATATTTTATTTCCTTAAATAAAAGCTACGGAATTACCTAATATGATTAACATATATATGTAATTAGTGATTATGAATAATACATATTTTTGTATCCTCTCTCTTTTTTTTGTTTAATTTTAAATTATTAAAATAAATTAAACAACATTTAAATATATAATAAAAAAATTAAAATTTTTCTTATAGGTTATATTTTTAAATTTTTTAAACGACAATAAATAACTAAAAATAGTAAAATTCCACATTGAAAATTTTATGATCAATGGTTTAACTTTGTTTTTTTTCTAAAGAAGATACAAAATACGAATATGAAGTATCATTAGTAGATATTCATACTATAAATATGTTAATTTAAAAATTTCAGTGAAAAGGTTTGAGGTTAGTAGATACAAATTATAGTATACGAAAGATTTTTGTAGTTTGTTTTATTTGCTTCTTTTTTTAATATCTTGTAGTTTATTTAGATAATTTAAAATTAGATTTATTAATAGTTTAAATATTTTGATTTTTTTTTGTCAACTTTTAATGTTTAACAAATATTTTTTGGGATGATTTCAGATTTGGTTACAATCCAATCCAAACTGAATTGAGAAGATCAAATCGAATCCAATCCGATAATTAGTAAAATTCAAATAGGATTTATGATAATAATACCAAAATCTGAAAATACGTGTCAATCAAACTAAAACCGACGAAGTATCAAACGTCCAGACCTATGATGATTTAAGATACCAACATTTGCATTCATCATTTTATAATCGATAAATACTGTAGTATTGCAAAATGTTAAAAACCATTTAATGAATAAATATTAGTATGAAAATTTCACCCCGCGCATGCGCGCGGGTTATCATCTAGTTATAAGTAAAGTGGTTGTTAAAGCGTTTGAAGTTTTGTCGATATTAACACTCTCAATTTTTCATCATGAAATGATTATATATCAAAAACCTTTGATGACATAAATTATCTATTATAAAAAGAGAATTTACCCATTACGTTACGTAAAATTAGTCTAGGTTTTTTTTATAAAAAAATTAGTCTAGGTTTTAACCAAAAAGAAATGCAGTCTTCCACATAGTTAAAAGACCCATTCAAATTCCTGAGACAAGTTGTTGATCCTTTTTCAATTACATGTTGTCAACTTACATATTAACATTACGCCGAGATTTCAGTTATATTAGGACGTTGGGTTAGCCTTTAGGTTTTAAAACAAGTTGACAAAACACAAAAGGTCAAACAACAATCAACAAAAACTCTCTCTTTACCTCCAAAAGAAAAAGCTCTCACATGGCTGGTTCTTCATTGAAGGCAAACCTAAAGGGGCCGCAAGTGTTCATCAGTTTCCGGGGAGATGATGTGCGCAAACACTTCATAAGCTTTCTCGTCCCTGCTTTAAGAAGAGTGAATATAAATGTATTCATAGACGAGGACGAGCTTTTGGGCGCAGACCTAGCTAACCGGTTTACGAGGATAGAAGAGTCCGAGATCGCACTGGTAATCTTCTCAGAGAACTACGCCGATTCGGATTGGTGTTTGGATGAGCTGGCCATGATAAAGGAACGTAAAGATCAAGGTCGTCTCAGAGTGATTCCCATCTTCTATAATATATCTCCTTCCGTCGTGAAAGAACTTCGAGAAAAATTTGGAGATAAGTTCAGGGATATTCAGCGCAGATATCAACACAAGCCAGAAAGAACTAAAAAATGGGAGGAAGCTTTAGTGTCTATTCCTGACGTGATAGGCATGCCCCTGTCAGAACAAAGGTAAAATTTTTATTTTCTTTGTTCTTACATAACTGATAAACTGAAAATTCTAAAGTTATACAGTTATACTAATATCCTCCTAGTTTATAAACTTAATACCAAGTAGATACATCTAGAATTTATACTACTAAACTTAATACCAAGTAGATACCAAGACCGGTCCTGGGGCATGCCTAATGAAACATTTGCCTCAGGCCTCAAAAGTTTTGAAGAAAATTACATGAGTATAGGACTCCCCAAAAAATTTTTAGGCCCCCAAAAATTTGTTTACATAGAAATTGCTACAGGTCCCCAAAATTTCATGACCGGCCCTGGTAGATACATCTAGAATTTATACTACTAAACTTAATACCAAGTAGATACATCTAGAATCTCATGCTGTTCGTATGTTAAAGTATGTTGTAAGTTCAAATTTTGATTTCAGTCAGAGAAGCAGATAAATCTTTCTTGTGGAACACGGAACAAATATATTGATTTATATGCTTGTTAATATATCTCACTTTTATGATGTGTAACAGTGACAAGACTGATAACGATTTCATAAACTCATTGGTCGTCAAGATTCAGATATTGCTGGACCATATGGTCGCGAGAGGAACCCCGACAAGAGAAAAGAATCATCATGGAGGTTCCATTGCCTCTTCCATTGTTCCTGCAAGCCAGCAAGGAGTTTCACTGGTTCCTGCTAGGAAAATAGAAAGAGAAGTAACTCTTCAAGGAGGTTCTGTTGTCTCTTTCATGATTCCTGCAAGACAGCTAGATATCATTGATATTGAGAATAGTCAAAAATGGGCTTGGAGTTTTATCAGCGAAGCGCCAAAGTAAAAAAACCTTTTTTCTTCATATGGAAAAAGAAAACAACCCTATTTTTTATTTGGTCCTTTCTACTGTTTTTTTAATGATTGATATAATTTATTTTTCCAGCTATGCGGGAGTTGAAGTTCTAAAGATGGTTAAAATTCACTGGCTACACATAAAAGGAACTTTTGAAACGACGGATCTAACACCAGGAACAAAATATGAGGCAGTTTTTCTAGTAAAATTAGAAGATAATGCAATTGGATGGGAGAAACCAGTGACCTTGAAGCTAAAGGTGGAACAACACGATGGCAGCGACAGTCGGGTTGATCGTAATGAGAACCTCAAAGATTACATAGGCCAAAACTGGGTGGATATTCTAGCCGGAGTTTTTGTGGTGCCACCGAGAAACAAGCCAGCAGATACCATCACTGTCACCATGTATCAGTACGAGACAAATGATAAGAAGAAGGGCCTCCTCGTCAAAGGCGTTGCAATTCGTCCCACGAACTAATGCGCCCAAAGCAAAGAAGATTTGATATCTTTCTACTATCTATTTCTTTAACAATTTCGTTCCAATAAAATAAACAGCATGTCTTTTTGATATTTTCTTGCAAATAATGTATAAAATAAACAAGCATATCTTTTAAATCTTGACCTACCGGCGGTCAGACCAGCTTTAAACCGTTAACCACGCACATATTAGGTTGGGTTTATAAAAAGGGGTTGCTTATATGAGAGAATTGGTGAAATAACCAAAAAAATAATAATAATAGATTTCTAGATAAAGTGTAAAAAGAGGGTTAAACTTTAAAGGTTTCTACATCAGATCTGGGGTTCGAAGCTCAGACTATGCTCTTTCTATACCAAGAGAGTTTCAATTCCTGGAGAAGGTGAATGGCGAATTATGCAAGATTGGAGAAAAAGCTTACAAGAGATTTTCAGCATGGTGCAAGGCGTAAGAATGAATCTCGTGGTTGTTCATCCTGAACCGAAATCCGACTTTGGACCATTTACTATCTTGGGGATATGTTTGGAAAACTGCTGTCTCCTGTGTGGAAGAAGCCCTGAAGCGAGGGATCATTTTTTTTTTGCCTTTGCTCTTACTCTTCCCTCGTCTGGAAAGCAGCCATAAGAGTACTTGGTTTCACTACCTCTCCCATTCCATGGGATAATAGTATTTTTCTTTGGCTATCTACGAGTTCATTGAATCATGTTCATCTTTCGTCAGTGCTTAAAATTTGGCATGGATGTATCTATGCTATTTGGCAAGATCGTAATGCTCGTTACCACAAGGGTCTCACAAACTCTCATTGGATGTTATCACGGGATGTCATCAAACAGGCTAAAGACAATTCTACTGCTATGCGTGGATCATAACTTGGCTCTATAGTTTGGTGGCGCTCTGGTCTACTTTTAATTGATGCAAGCACATCTTTTGTCACTTCCATGGTTCCCTACATCATGTAACCTTCTCCCTTTCTTCTCGTTAATCTCCCTTGTATTTTCTTAATTTGTGTTTCTGCTTTCTCTCTTCCTCTGTAAACTCTTTCTTTTCTTATTTTTAATATGAAAGTCAGTTACAAAAAGAAAGAATTATTTAAATATCTATGTAATCCCTTTATTATTGAAGAAGAAGCGAAATAAAAGAGTAATCTTTAAATTGTATTATATTTACTTGATTGTCATTTTGCTGAGGTGTCAACATAATATCTCTCCTCAGCTTCTTTTTGAATTTATCCTTTTATATCTAGAGTAGTTACTAATTGTGCCATTAGTATAACTTAATACACAAAAAGACAGCGATAAATGAAAAAACTGCATATTATATGGTTTTATTATAGGGTGAATTGGGTAGATATCCTTAACAAAATGTGAAATTAGGGATTTGCCATAATTTAGTGGGAAAAGTAGTGATGTGTGGGGAGGAGAGATAACGAAGAAATATGGTATGGAATGAATTAAGGGAAAGGTGGTGTGTAGAGAGCCCAAATTCACTTTATTATAACTACTATGTGTTAATTCACACCTGATTTTATGCTCCCACTGATGAATATCTATAATGAATAGCACTTATAAATCCATCGTTACTTTAACTTTAACGGGTGTATTATTTTGTAACTAACATGAAGAAGAATAATTTCATTATATAACTTCTACACAAACAAATATTCATACAATATTTTAATATAGATTAAAAAAAATAACAAAGAAATATTATCACTTTTCAGCATGATATACGATCACAATAATGATGATTTTCAAACAAGCTAAGATTTTCATTCTGCTCATATGGGCGTGACTATAACCAAAACTATTTTCACAAAAGTAATCAAGGTTGGCCAGTTTATCAAAAGATGTATCCGCCAATAACAATAGAGTGAAACTTGGAATATAAATTTAGCATATACGATGTCATGCTTTCAGTAAGAGATATGACAAGTTCTAAGTTTACTTCCAGAAAGGTAATGAAGATTGGCATGTTTATGTTCAATATGGGTCCTAGCTCTAAAACAATAAAATCATGTACTTATCCTTATAAATTTAGCATAATTATTTACATGTTTGATACATGTAAGTTATCAAACTTTTCATAAATATTCAACTGAATAAGCCTAGGGAAAGGTCATTTTCAAAAATATGGCATATCCTTTAAATTGAGCTTTGTCAAAACGTTAATTTCGTGGTCAAATATATATTCCAAAATATTAACGGGAAATACTCTGGTCAATATGTAAATTTATTTTCTTTATTTCCTAATATAGATAGACCGTTCAATACTTTAGTGACAATCCTTGCTAATCAATTCATAATTTTGTTAATTGTTATAGATTCATTCAATATGAACAGCGATTGGGAGAAATAAACGTTAATTACGAATATTGACATTTCTTGTAAAACCTATTTCAATAAACACATAATGGTTGGTTCTTCTATATAAACAACTACGTCGTTGCTTCTAATATACCATCTTTTCTTGACTCCATTCGCTCTTTATAAGTTTTTAACATTGTTACGATTTAGATGGCTAACTTAGATTTTTAATACAATTTGTATTATGACTTTTATAACTAACTGTGTTTTTACATTAATTGATCTCTTGATTATTTTTTCTTAAAAGGATTCCAAACAAAGCTTACCGAAGACAAGATTCATATAATTTTGGTTCTATCATTAGTTCTTTTGGGTCATACTGGAGACAAGATTCATATATTTTTGTTGCTTTCATATTTTCTAATTATCAAGATGTTTAGTTTAATTTCCATCTCATAAGTTATATTATCTTTATCTATGCTTACGTTTATTAACCATCTGTACTTGAAACAGTACAAAAACTAATATGAGCTTCATTTATTTATTTTTCTTAACCAATTTTTGATTTTTCAAATCTCTATAATATTATTTGAGAAGTCACTTTCTTATGTGTCGCGTTCACGTTAACTCTTACGCTGGTTGATTACTATGCTACCCCTAATGAATTAAAAAAAATACATTCAAATATTATTATTTCCTTTTAATTTTTTTACAAATAACAATATAAAATAAAAAGGAAAAAAATATAAAGTTTACAAAACTATTTAAAAACGAAAATATAAGTATATCCTTTTAAAAAATTTCCAAATAACAATATAAAATAAAAAAGGAATCATTTATAAAGTTTTAAAAAACTATTTAGAAACGAAAAATACAAGTATATATAAATATGGGTTCATAAAAAAGAAAAGTTCACAAAATAGTAACATTTAATTTAAATACATTTTAAATAACATAAAATATACTTTTGAAGTAATACAATACTTTATATCTATATCTTCTTAGATGAAAAACAATATTTGTATATAATGTGATTCCATAAAAAAAAGTTCACAGAACTAATCTTGATATTAGAAAAAGAATTATTATTTTTTTTATTTTTTTAAATTAAACAATAAATATATATATATATATATGTGTTTTTTTTTCAAAGTAATTTTTTTGTATATATCTATCTATTTTATTAGAAGATTACATAAAATAATTAAGTAACATAAGCTGATATAGGTTTAGTTGAAAAGTTCTTTTATAATTAGTATTCTTGAAATATATATATCTTTTAATTTTTAGTATATTTATTTGACTATAATATCTTACAATTTCAGCAAAAAATATAAATTCTATTTTACTTATATAACATAATTTCTCAAAAAAATAACATTTTACTGCATATTTTAAGAGATATTAAAAACAAAACTAAAAATAAATTTTAATAATAAACATTTGTTGATCAAATAACTACAATTATTTTAAAATATCATAACACTATATAATTTAACGAGGTAGAGATACTATATTTTAATAGTTAAAATTATATGTTTTCTTAATAACTCTTTTGATTTTTAGTTTTTTGCTTTTATGTTTGTGGAAGTTAATATAACCATAATCAAAATACTTAAGCAAATCGGAATCCTTATTTTAAAAATTATTTAAAATAAATTTCAGCTTACCATCCAATCAATCTAAAGATTTTAAATATTGATATGTGTTCATAAGCTTCCAAAAATTTATTATTTACTTATGTATGCAATTTAGAATCAGACAGTTTTTTTTTCTTTCTAAGCACAAAAAATCTTAAGTTATACATAATCTTACTAATATACTTATATTTCTAAGATAACAACTGGCATAAATGAAAATAAGACAATTAATCAAAAATTTAATATATTTAAAATAAAATAAAGATTATAGTTGAATTCAGATAAATAGATAGAACCTAATATATCCAAATGATAACTAAATCAACCGTAAAAACAATAAAACCGACGAACTATAACATTTCTAAAATTATATATAATTAAATTAATATAATATTAGTAATATAAATTCTATCTACGAATTATAAATTAATTTAAAATTTAAATTAATCAATCAATTATTATAATATATTTATTTTTAAAATATTTAGGTCCGTGCATGAGCACGGGAAAATCACCTAGTACTGTTATATTTGTAAAATCAGATAAATTTAACGATGGTTTTATGCAAATTTCTGTAAATATCTAACCGTATCTTTCTAATTAACCAGTTTGTTTGCCTAATTTATAATGCATGTTAAATAATATCAATTTTATTGATAAACTTTACATATAAATTACAAATATATATAAATATATTTTATCATTTTAAAATGTAATTTTAAACTAATCTAGTGCAAGGCGCATGTCTTATACTAGTGACAAATTACATGACTTGTTTCTGGTCTCACTGCGTTCGAGATCAATTCATTCATATTTTTAGTTATTCACAATGTCCACTTTTAACTAGACACTTGGAATTTATATATGATTAACCTATGGAAAGACTTATGAACTCATCAACTCTTGTCTTTAGGCTCCCCAATTTTTTAAGTCTTTCCATATTTAATCATATAACCCAAGTGTCGAGTTAAAATTTGCAGCTGTGATCAATAACTAAAATATGAAAGATATATAGTTGACGTCGGGACTGGGGAGTATTCCACACCCTTCAACTATAATTCAGGGGAAGACTTTTGGGAAGTAGACCCATGCGGCCAATCAAACATAGTTATAAATATTTATGCAAATTATAGCTTAATAAAAATTAGGTTTATATCCAAATACAGTAATAGTTTACATATGCCTGTTGTCATGTTGATCGACAT